AAACCCCATGTGAGGTTAGTTAGTTTGTAAATTGAAATTAAGAAATTAAATGTTATAATATTCGATAGACTATATATTTTATTAAGTTGACTCTATTCACATGTCATGGCCAATAATATCTGCATCCATAAGCACTTCCTTGAACATCTTCTGCAGCTACTTGGCCTCCTCCAGCTCAGAAAACAACTAGGATCTTTTAAAGTTTTCAAAGATGGGAAGCAGCTGCTCTTATGCAAAGGCAAACACCTCCATAAATAGGAATTCATTTACTATGTTGTCGATTTAGTAATTCAGATCATCCGAGAACATTGTCTCTCCCTAGCCATTATTTTTAAATAAATCTTCCTCTATGTCTGATATTCTATCAACGATGATTCCAAATTGCACCATTTTAAGTGCCTATCTGTCATTAATTTACTTGGGCAGATCAACTCTAAACTCAGATTCATCAGTCAAATGCTCTATGAATATTTCATAAGCCATATCTATTCTCCCCTTTCTGTTGTTCCTGTCATTGTTATAACTCTCATTGTAGTAGCTGATCCTAGTGTACAAATAGTAAAATTTATTTATCTCCTTAGACTCCGCATATTGCTGCTCTACGAATGTCTGGAAATACCTAGACACGAGCTTATCCTGGATCAGCACGTTAAGGTTAATTGCACCTATCAGAGACAGCTGCTAATCATCTGTGATCAGACTATTAGTATGATTAAGATAAGACTTTCTTCTCTGTCTCCGTATAGTCTGATAAAGTGGAGGTAAACTAGTGATAAACAGAATAAGTAGGTTTCTAGCCACAGTGATTAGAGACACGTATTGCCAGGTAGAGGTATTGGACTTGAAAATAAAAATGCCTAGAGTTATGAAGCTGCCTAAAAACCATACTATCAAGACTAGCACTATCTCCCCTTGAATGCTGAACTCATGCTTAATGTTCTTGATAAAGTTCAAAGCCACCATGAAGAACAAGCACTCGAAGAAATTAAACAGCATAATTATAGTTACAGATATATTTGAATGCAACACCACGTTGTCAAGCAAACTGCCCTAGATGTCATCGTTCATAGTTTTCTAGTAGCATATTGACACATTATACGAAGGAGCAAACACAATGACCTTATCATTTGCATATTTGAGGAAGTATATTCCCAATGTAAATATGATAAGTATCGCTGACCAAAGAAGGGTTATCCTGATTAGATACACCTCTGATATCCACTTAATCCACTTCTTTGGCTTCTATCCATTAATAATGAAGTGCTGCTGTGACTTCATTATGACTTTTAATCTGATTGCCCTCATTATATAAGGAATTATCGCTAGAGGTTCCCAGATGATTAGCAGAGTAAACCCCATAAAGCAGTTGAATGATGAGAATGACTCACTCATGCAAGCAGTTGATAATTTGTCTAGTAAGCAGGCATTATAGGTAATCTGTTGAAGCAGCACTATGAAGCAGAACATGAAGTTTCCGATTGTTGAGAGCAGTATCAATCTTGAGCATTTCTTTTTCAGGGGCTAGTAGTCTATATAAACTACTAGTAGGATTATGATGATGCCTCCAATGAATACTGTGATGCAGAGTAGAATAATGTTTATTATCAGGTAGGTAAAGGCTGAATCATCAGCGTATGATCCAAGAACTTTGCTAGTTAGAGGAGTTAGCAGCTTTTGCTTATTTTGATACAATTCAACCATTATATTTCTGAGCAAGATTATAATAATTGACTTAATTATTACTAATTTAATAAAAATAATATTATCCCAATCTTTTTTAAACAAGAATCCTGGGGTTTTGGGGTTTTGGGG